GGGACTCACGTGGGGACCCAGATTCCCACAACCACTCACAGGCTCCTGTCACCAGCCCTCTGCCAATGGAGGCCCAGGTGGTGTCCGGGATGTCCCTACGGCCCCCTTCAGGATCACCCAATCCAACCCTCTCACAGGACAAGGAAACTGGGCTCCCCTCGGCCCAGCAGACGGTGGTGAAAGCAGGAATGAAACGGCACTAACCTACACCTGTCCCCAGGGAAGACCTTCCTGGGGACAGGCGCAGGGTAGGGGAGCACAGGAAGCACAGCCTGGCAAGCCCTTCCCTACCTTGCCGCCAGCCCGTCCCAGGACCCACTCACACACCCCACACCCGCAGGACTGGCACCACCACCCCCTCCAGAGGCGCTGGGCTCTGTAGTTTTTGCCTTGGATTTTCTGTGTGTTTTACATCAATCTCTTTTATCCCCTGTTGCTTTGCACACCTGGGTCCCTCCATCTAGGATTCCTGCCCTCCCTCATCTCCCTGGGAGGCTCAGACTCTCTTCCCAACTACTCCCGTATCCTCTTCTCTGGAAGGCTCTCCTGGGGCACGGCCGGCCCGTCCTGGCTTCTCCCCTTCACTCTGGACAGGCTCTGGGCCTGCCTCCGGCTCACACTGCTCTCTGACCGCCTTCACCTCCTAGCCGGCCTGCGAATTCCCTGAAGGCTGGCATCACGACTTGTCCCAGGTACTTAGCACACGGAGCCTGTGCTTCGGGCACTCAATCAAGATTTGCCGGATGAACAGGCGGGGGATGTTCAAATGAACAGACAGGCGCTAATTTTCCAGGAAACACCTCTCATGGATTCATTTAGAAAAAGCAGGATGGTATTCATCTGTCCCAGAGAAGCCCTTAACCTGTCTGCCCTTCCTTCCCCACACAGCCCACTGGATGCCAATCCCCACACGCTCCCTGCTAGGAAATGACACTCCACACTACTCCGTGTCTCTCATCTCTCCTGGGTGCCGAGGGTGTTCCTGTTTGCAGAGGGCTTCTCCACAGGCCTCTCAGGGCATCCCTGAAGATGCTGCTGTGGGTTGCTTAGGCTTTAAAAGGCAGTGGAGGGGGCGCTGGGGCTATGGCTCAGTTGGTAGAGTGCTTGCCTCACATGCACAAGGCCCAGGGTTCCATCCCCAGCACTACACACACACACACACACACACACACACACAAGGCAATAGAGGGGCTGAGCTGTAGCTCAGTGGTGGGGAGCTTGCCTACCATTCACAAGACCCTGGTAGGCAATCCCCAATACTACAAAATAAAAATAAAAATAATAAAAGGCAACAGACATTGGGGACATATGTGCGTACAGGACAAGGGAACCTAAGAAGGCCAGAGCCACATTTCCCAGGTCTCTGGATGAGGTGAAAGAAAGTGACTTTGGGGAAGCAGATTCTTTGTGCCGTATTTGGATTTTTTATTTATTTTTTTAAAGAGAGATGGAGAGAGAGGGAAAGAGAGAGAGAAATTTTTTTTCTTAATATTTATTTTTTAGTTCTCAGCAGACACAACGTCTCTGTTTGTATGTGGTGCTGAGGATCGAACCCGGGCCGCACGCATGCCAGGCGAGCGCGCTACCGCTTGAGCCACATCCCCAGCCCCTGTGCCATATTTCTAGACAATCCAGAGCAATGGTCAGGAGTCATGGTCAGGAACCTTGTAAAAGGCGGGGGCTCCAGAATTCTCACACTCCTACCTTAAACAGAGATACTTAAAGCAGAGAAGAGCCCCCAGACAGCAACAGTTCTGGCCTCCTTATTGCTCAGAGGCAGAAAGTGACCCTAGAGAAGGACCATGGCAATGGGTGCCAGCAACCCCTTCCATCCCCAGAAGCCACCTGTGCTAACTCCACTTATCACGGGAAAGCACTCGCCTGCCCCACCTGGTCCCACATGGGCCTCAGTGTTGGGAGGGCAGATGGGTAGCAGGAATGGGGTACAGGTCCTGGGAGACCTCCAGTGGACACTGTAGGGTGCAGCAGTCTGTCACATGGTGTGAAGCCTCTCTGGCCCGCAGCCGGGGAGGAAGCCCAATGGTTTTGCGTCTTCTGGGAGCAGGGACACCAATCCCCTCCCAGGGGCCTCCTGGAAGGCCTGGGAGAGCTCTGGGGTAGGGGGCTGGGATCAGCACCAGACAAAGAGCCACCTGCTCTCCTCCTCAGCCTCCCCCTCCAGGGCTCCCTGCTGTTGTCCTAGTGACAGGGGCTGCCCTGTAGCTCCTCCACCCCCCAGCCCCCACCCTGGCCTGCCCACCCTGCCCCAAGCACATTACAGGCTCCACGCTGCGGAGAATGAGCTGGAATCGGGCCGAGCCTCCATTCTCTGCCAAAACTCCACCTTTCATGCCAGGGCCAGACAGGCCAGACAATGGGGGGTCACTGCTACCCTGATACTGAAGCCTCAGGGACTCCAGACGCTGACTGCGGGGGCGGGAGAGGCAGGGATGGGGCCAGCTCCTGAGCTCCCCGGGTGCACTCAGGACATCTTTCAACCACATCCAACACCTGGGCAGATGAGGGCAAGGGCAGAGACGGGCAGGGGACATGGGGTCAGAGACAGAGAGAAGATGACAAAGAGACAAAGAGAGTGAACCAGGGGGAGAGCGCATGCCCAGAAGGCAGGAGAGAGGTAGGTCCAGCACCCCAGAAGGAAGCAGGGAGCTTCTAAAGGAGCCTGTGCCCCTGCTGGGGGGCAGCAAGGGACATGGCAAATCCTATTCTTGGGCTGGGGAATCCTATTCTTGGGCTGGGGATGTGGCTCAAGCGGTAGCGTGTTCGCCTGGCATGCATGCGGCCCGGGTTCGATCCTCAGCACCACATACCAACAAAGATGTTGTGTCCACCGAGAACTAAAAAATAAATATTAAAAATTCTCTCTCTCTCTCTCTCTCTCTCCTCTCTCACTCTCTCTTTAAAAAAAAAAAATCCTATTCTTGTGTCGGCCACTAGTGAGGGTTGGTATAACTCAGGGTAAACAGCTGGTGCCTCGGCTGCCCCACCTGTGACTGGGCTGAAGCAAATAGGGCCCAGCTTGCCAGGGTCCGGGGGCTGTGACACCAGCTTCACCTGCCTCATTCAAACAAGGGGACACCTCTCTGCCAGGAGGTGCGGCAGACCCTCTCTGGGCACAGCCGCTGGCCCCCTTCAGGCCTCTAAAGTGGGGGAGATCATACTAGCAGCATGGTTCTGAGCTTTCTGGAAACTAGCCCTGTAAACGTAATTTCCTCTTAATAATGTGCCGGGGCTCCTGAGGCACCCCCTCCCTCGAGTACTCTGTGCCCCGGATTCACCCGAGTTGGCAGTGGGATGAGGTTGGGGCTGGGTGGGTTCAAGGCAGCCTGGTGGGGTGGGGTGGTCCGGGCAGCTGGAGGAACATGGGCTGTGAATGGCACAGGGGCCTCCTGAATAGGGACTGAGATGGGTGAGGGGGCAAGTCCACATTCAACCGGAATGGAGGAGGGGAGAGGCAAAGGGAGGAGAAAGGAAGAAAGGAAGAAAGGAAGAGAAAGGAGGAGAAAGGAGGAGAAAGGAAGGAGGCAAGAAGCTGGCCCTCCCACACCCCCCACCCACCTGCCTCGGCCTTGAAAAGATCTTCCCTTCCACAGGATTTTTAATCCCACCAGTGCCAAGCCCTCTGGCCCCTAATCCCCTAGGTCACTAGCTCTCCCCAGACTGAGGCCAGCCACAACACACACACACACACACACACACCCCTCTGTCATCTCCCTTCTCCTACCCTGAGCCCCTTCCTGGGGCACTTAGCCCACCTAGGCTGGAAAAATGGTCTACCCCAGTTTTCTCTGTATTGCTGCCATCTGGGTTTACTTCCCCTCTTTGGGACCAGGGGTAGGAGGAGAGTCCCCAGAAGAAGACCCCACCCCAGCTGCTGTGCCGTTTTGGGCAGTTCATTCTGCCACACTGCCTCAGTGTCTCCATCAATCAAGTGGCAGGAGCTCTCCCTTCTCGAGGAATTGTAAAGGGTCCACATCCATCCCCGTGCATGTGAGATGCACACCATCAGTGATGGAGGGCGGGGAAAGAGTCACAGCCCACACTGCACAGATCCATTCTGAATCCTAGCACAGTCAAGGGGCCAAGGGCAGGTTTGGGACCAGGATGAGGTGGCTCTACATGGTGGGTGGGATCATTTAGGTCTGTGCTGTCAGAGGGTCCTAGTGATACTGGAGAGAGGGACAACAGGTTAGGGACTCATAAATCTTAGTCCAAAGACCTGGAAGGAACCTTGGTGATTTTCAAACTGTACTACAAAGTTCTTAGAGGCTGTGGGGCTTCTGATGCACACAGGCAGCACTGAGGGGGACTGCTGAGCAGCCACCAGCCTTCCTTAGGCCAAGCAGCTCTGCCTTGAGCCTGTGTATATACTAGCCTTCTACCTACTACCCACCTAAAGGACAACACAGTAAGAACTAAAATATTTGGAATGTTTGCTCCGTATCAGGTACCTGAGCTACCTCACTGAAATCTTAGGCCACTATCCATCCCGATTTACCTGGGACTGATATGGTTTATACCTATTCTCTCAGCATGATTATTAACAGTGTCTGGGGCTGGGGATGTTGCTCAGTTGGTAGAGTGTTTGCCTTGCATGCAC